GTGTGTATGTATGTGTGTGTGTGTGTGTGTGTGTATGTATGATGTGTGTGTGTGTCTGTGTGTGTGTGTATGTATGTGTGTGTGTGTGTGTGTGTGTATGTATGATGTGTGTGTGTGTCTGTGTGTGTGTGTATGTATGTGTGTGTGTGTGTGTGTGTGTGTGTGTGTATAGTAGGGTTGTAAGCTCTGATAACAAATCACAAGAGTGAGGCAGGGAGAGACAGCAGGAGGATGAAGAGAAGGACAGTTTGCGCCAAGGTAGCGGCTTCCCAAAAGCGCCCCTCCCCCAGGACAGTGCTGTGGCACCATGCTTCAAAAAGCCCAGCACCATTTCAGTATGTCTGAACATGCGGGTGTGCTGAGGGTACGGCCCCCCCCCCCGACGGCCCCCCCAGGACAGGCCCTCTGGAGCATCTACCGCTTCTCTGAGGCCACATCTCAAGGGTGGAGGAATGCCGGGGCTTCGGTGCGGGACTGAGGTCACTGCTGGGCGGATGGGGGCTTCTGGAGGATTCCCACCTGCCGACGCGTGTTCAGAACAGCCTGGAGGGGGGAGCAGGGGGGCCGGCTCTCCTCGGGCGCGAAGGGAGCCGCCCGGGCGATTTCACGGGCCCCTCCCTCGGACCCGGCACGCTTCCGACAGGCCGACCACATCAAGCGGTGCGCAGCAAAACCGCAGTGAAGAGGCCGGCACCTGTACTCTGTACGAGCCACGGCTGGGGGGGGCGGCTGCCCAGAGGCACTGGATGAGTCTCCAGGCTGGCCCGTTTAGGAAGGGGGGGGTGGAGAATGGAGCATTTGTTCTCTTTCCTGACGACCTCATCGGGCGACACGGTCCATGAAAGGCGCTCATCTGTTTCCCCTTAACGTGACCAATCAGAAGGAGGGAGAGAGGGAGGGGGGCATCAAGGGCTTCTCCACGCACCCAGATGCCCTCCACCTCAACCCAGCACCCCCCCACCCCCCCCATGGCAGCTCGCCAACACCGGCCCCGCATCTGTGAGCTGGTGCTCCAGCTTGAGCCCCCTGTCGGCCCGTGACAAGTGCACTACCGGCACGTGAGAAATGTCCCCCTTCCCACTCGCCACGTTCTTCAGCCCCATTCGCCTGTTCTGGCGCCCCCACCTGGCCGGGAGGATATACTCAGCTCACCTCGCCACATAACAGCTTCCCCATCTGAGTGCCGAGACCACGTTCAGGAAAGGTTATGTTAAACACCCCCCCCCCCAACCCCCCAGGAGTATTCCTCAAACTTTTTCCCACCTTTCACATCTGAAGGGGGCCAAACCATTAGCGGGGAGGTATTACCAGAAAGGATGAGTGTCCCTGAACTCAGCTGTCAGTCAGCATAAATAAAGCCCACGATTTCCTGCCTTAGAGGCTTTTCTGTTCAGGGAAAAGGACTTTCCACCTCAAAGCAGTTGGTTTGTATCCATGACAACCTGCCCAGCTCCGCATCATCCCTACACGTGTCTGTGGTGCAGAGGGTTTTGTCCAAAACACCCTGCATTCCTCGTCATCTATCCTCTTCATATAGCTGTATTTTGAATGATTGTACGGTACGTCACACGCAGCTGTGAGCGTCTGTGTGAGAGAAACTGGGCAGGGAGACTGAGAGACAGAAAAGCCGACAGAGAAAGTGACAGACTGCTTATTGCATTTGGCAATACTTCAAAAGCAAACACTGGCAGAGTGAGGAGGGACACAGTACCTCAACATGGCCACAGGGGGGCAGCAGTATACAGAAAAATCTCCCCTTTAAACCACAGAGCAGAGCCTAGCACAGACCAGCCCAGAGCTCTCTTCAGAAGAAAGAAATATAAATGTAGGTCCTATACTGACGAAGCGTAACTATACTTCTTCAACCCATATGCCCCCTGCTGGCAGGACATGGGTGTGTTCATCTCGGAGAGGGTCCTACCTGGCACTGTCAAAGGTCGCAGATGGAGTCTTTCCCGCCGCGGCGAATCCGACCCCAACCGCTAGACCCTCTGTAACAAGGACAAGCGCACAGGAGTGATTAGTAATGTGAAATGTA